AAAAAAAAAAAAAATGGAGTTCAAACGAGCACTGGAAATCGTTTGATTTCAAACAGAACCCTTTAATTCTCATCACGACCTATTTGTGAAATAAGATAAGTTGGAAAGGCTTGCTTCTTGGATCTTTCTTCCCACTTGTTTGTATTGCTAAAATTGACTATAGAAATTATGTTGCATGACAAATTCGATCGTCTTCGATTACATTATGAAATTCTTTCAACTTATAGTAATTAGTTATCCAAGTTTATTTGGCAGAGAATTTTAGAATTTTTAACAGATATGAACATGTTAACAGGCTGGTTATGGTGCATTTTTGGCTACGACAATAAACATGCCTCAGCAAACTAAGGCCTTGATGCAAGTATACGGTGGATTCGCAACGAGGAAACTATTACAAGTACGATTGAGGCTGTAACAAAAGTAAGCAATCCTACTCATTTTCTTATAATTTGTGCTTATATATATATGCACCCTTGTCGCAGGAACATGATACAGAAAATGTATATGGCCAATGGTTGGGATGGATGATGGCTGCCATCTACACGGGTGGTCGCCTACCTCAGATATGGCTGAATGTATGTAACGTTTTCTTAATATTAAAAGTTCTTATATCTTTGTAAGAAAGTTCGGATTTTTTCTCCCCTTCAATTTGCTACTAATGGTTCTTGCTTTTCTGATCAGATCAAAAGAGGCTCAGTCGAGGTAACGTATATAGCAATATTTGGTATAGAATATCGAATAATTAATAAATGATAATACGACTCATCCAACCAAGTAAGCCATTAGTAGTTTTTATAGTGAACAAATAGATCAAAAACTCATATTTCTATATGATTATTATCATCTAGGGCTTGAATCCTCTGATGTTTATCTTTGCATTGCTAGCCAATGCCACTTATGTGGCCAGGTACATTATAATCTCTCACACATAAAAACACAAGTTTGAGAGTTGAACTCGCTCTGTTGTCACACCTTTTGTTCACTCGACTCGCTTGAGTCGGACTCTATCTAATCTCTCAGATTTGTGTACTTGATGCAGCATTCTTGTAAGATCAACTGCTTGGAGTAAAATCAAAGCCAATATGCCTTGGTTGCTGGATGCTGCTGGCTGCGTCGTGCTAGACTTATTCGTATCCTTTTTATCTTCTACTCATTTTCTATCAAAATGTGCTTAAAATTAAGCTCAACTATTTAGATTAAAATGGTCCATTTTGGCCCTATTATATTCATGCAATGCTAAAATCAATCCGACAAGAATGTGTTA